TTTTCGCTGAAGCCTGCATCTGTGTCCGTGTGGTGTGCGTGACAAGTGCACTATAAAAGCAATATTTCAAACTCATCAAGAGTTACGTTGACAGCATTTGCGACTTAATGTTGATAACCACAAAAACGTTTCCACTTGTCCATCCTTTGGGTTACAGTGGGAGGCACATTGACCAATTTGTAAACGTTAAAATACTCTGATGTAAAAAACATGAAAAAAATCACTTAATCTTTTCTGTGTAAAGTTATATCCAGTTTTATAGATGTGTTGCCATGGGAACCAAACCCTACAATACCATAAATGTAAGTGCTTTTATAAAATCATAAGCTTCATATTTGTGATTTTTAAATCTTCCAAAAATCGGCCCAATTCACTTCCATTGTAAGTGCTTCGCTGTAGCCTTGATTTAGATTTTTGTTTTTAAAGAAGAGAAGGGATGTGTTGAAATTATTTTTGTGGTTTTTAACATTATACCAGAGTAGGTGGAGCTTAGCCTGCACTGAACCTGGAATATTCCTCTGGGCCTCTTAAAAAAAAAAATAGTTTGGAGATTTTGTTTTTTTTACTTTATCGGAATGGGAAGACACTTGGTGATGTTTTTGTCGCATTAGCTATGTGAACAAAAAAAAAATCGTGGACATGATTTGGATATGCTAAAGGGTGGAAAAAAAGAAGTTACATTTGGTACCTTCGCAGTCTAAAATACCATTGGCAAAAAATATAGCTCATAAAAATTAAATACACTACCAGTCAAAAGTTTATGAACAGTAAGGTTGTAAATGTTTTTTTTTGTTTGTTCTTTTTAAGAATTCTCATCGGCTCATCAAGCCTGCATTTATTTGATCCAAAATACAGCACAAGCAGTAATATTGTGAACTATATCTTTAATCACCTGCAGATCCATGCTGGAGAAAGCAAAATATGGAGGATTGTGCTCAAAATCAAATTCTCATAGAAGAAGGTGAATTAAAATTCTGCCATAATTTCCTTTCTAAACCCATATGTTAAACTAAGCACTGTTTAATATAAATGTATTTATTTCACTTACTTCAGTCCATCTAAAGTCTTGTTGTTAGTCCATGAGAATTTTGCCTGTTTTCCCCTTTCAGACACTAAGATCTCCTTTGTGCTCACCATCAATCTGATACCAAACTTCTCATGAATAATCCCAAAGCGGCCAAAATAGGTGTGCATCTTGTTACCTGGAATGACCTTCTTATCTCCAATGGTTTGGCCATTGACCACAATACCTGTGGAACACCACCATATGTGTGATTTCAAATCATTATAAGCCATTTATAAGCTATTTATAAATTGGTTTCTCCAAAATGTTTAGGCACAACGTTCCAAAATTCACAACTTCTTGTTTCAATAGAAATGGGAATCTTATTTCCAATTGAAATGTGAAAAACAAATAAAATATAAAAACAACTTACAAAGCCAGCAAACTGATCTACTATTTAAGCTTCTTCTTTTTCTTCTGAGGCTAAATTTGGATTTCCTCCTAGAGTTTTCAAGCTATAACCACCAAACGTGGATCAGACCTGCAGACCGGTCTGACTCGGGTTGCTGTATCTTTTCTAACTGATCTGACCTATGGTTTTCACTCGCTCTAAACTGTAATAGAAGGGCTAATATCATAAGAATGCACAAAACTTTACTGTGAAGGATAGAATGATTATCTCCCTGCTTTGCTTTATAAGATACCTTTCAGTGTTTAGAGTTCCTAATGTCCTGTACTGTCAAATTCTGTATAGTACTACTACTCATAATTTTAACACCAGGCATGCATCAAAAGGATGTTTTTTACTTCCTGTTCCCTGCAAAGCAATGGACTGTGATGTATAGAGGAATACAAATATGGAATGGTTTGTCATAGGATATAACACATAAAATGAGTTTTAAAAAATCTTTGAAAACAATATTTAATGGCACAATATATAGTAAATTGTTGATTTGGATATTTTGAATGGATTTTGGGTTTGTATGTTTTATTGTTGTTGATTAATGTAGTTTTGTATTTTTTACTTGTTGGGACCCCAAAAAGAGTAGCCACTACCTAGGTAGTGGCTAATGGGGATACAAATAAACAAATGTTAGCAACATGCTAAATCGTGTTAAAACATGGAAGCAATGTGTTAAAACATGCTAACAATGTGCTAAATCATGCTAGCAACATGCTAAAACATGTTAAAACATGGAAGCAATGTGATAAATAATCATGTTATAACATGGTGGCAACATGCTAAATCACATTAACAATATGGTAAAACATTTTAAAACATGGTAGCAATGTGATAAATCATACTAACCACATGGTAAAACAAGCTTAATCATGCTAGCATCATGATAAAACATGTTAAAACATGGTAGCAATGGGATAAATCATGTTAACAACATGGTAAAACATGGTAGTATTGTGCTAAATCATGCTAGCAACATGCTAAAACATGCTAAAACATGGAAGCAATGTGATGTGTGTGTGTGTGTGTGTGTGTGTGTGTTTATTCCACAGCTGAAACAGGCTTCTATATTTCAGTTATAATGTCCATTTTGTTTTTTTAAATTCTCTGTTAGCTATTCTGTAAATTATTACTATAAATAAATTACTTCGCTCATTTACAAGGAATCAATATTTTGCAAAGACCTCAGTTTCACTACCTTTAGCTGAAGTGGGGCATCCGAGTCCTCATAAATCCTGCGAACCAAGCCATTGTTCTGCTTGCTCAAAGTATCCAAAAACCCATAGTTTGCATCGTTACCAAAAGCCAAACTGAACAGAGTGATATTCCCATCAATGGTGTGACGAATGTTCTCTTGGATCTCAGGAAGAGTTCTCGGATCTAAAAATGAATAAGATTTATGATTCCATCACAGACAACAACAAAAAGTACAACAGCCATGAATAACTGATAGATTAATTAAGTCTGCTCTTGAGCTAAACCTTTCTGAGTTCTCGTTGGTGTTCTTTAATAAGATAATGGAAATGACACTAGGGCTGTTTCCTGTATGTTTCTTTAGGGATACTTCTAGGCAATGTTTTTCCTTAAAGGGGTCATAGGATGCCCATTTTCCACAAGTTGATATGATTCTTTAGGGTCTTAATGAAAAGTCTGTAACATAGTTTGGTTAAAATTTCTCAATGGTAGTGTAAAAAACACCTTTTTTTACCCTGTCAAAAACAGCTCTTTTCAGATCAAGCCGTTTTTCTCATAGCATTTCCCTTTAAATGTTAATGAGCTCTGCTGACCTCTCTTCCCAGCTGCTCTCAGAGAGACTGTTTACTTTAACCGCATTCATCGTGAAACTTGTTAATTAGCACATTATTAGGAAAGGCGATTTGCAAAGATTCATTACAAAACATTATACTCACTTCTTCTGTAGATGAGGCTGGATCATGAATGATTCGTGCGAACATAGACGCATTTAGGTAGATCGGGGGCGCATTCCCTTCAAAAACAAACATAATCCACTGCGAGTTCAGCGGCTCAGATGTCGGGAGTAAATTTCGACTGCTATGTTCATTATTACATCCAACAACAGAACACCTCAATCGCTTGTTAGGAGTCATTCTTGTCTACATCTGCTCCGGCGGTGAAACAATGGCGGACTGATGACAGTCACTCAGGGCGGAGCTAAGGTAAGACGTCAGTCCAGTCTGTGCTGAAACGCTACTGTCAATCAAACTATCGTGTGACGTCACACAGACAGGCATCTGAGATCGGCTCGATTTGAGAAAGGGGGAAAGATTTGAGCAGATAAAAAAAAAACACTGGGTGGATTTTTATCATTATAGGGTGGTTGTGTACACACACTGCCAACACACGTTTCAGTTCAAACTACTTGTTAAAGTGCATGTAGCATTCTATGACCCCTTTAAGGAAAATCATGGAAAGTATAAGGTTGTTGGTACATGCATATACATACAAGTGTTTGGTTCCCCATCGGTCAGCAAAATGATCATCAGTACCATGTTCTTTGGGGTTGTATTGTTACGCTGCTCTTCATACAACATCTTCACACCATGCATGACAGCATCATGCAATTCAGTACCTGAGGCAAAAACAAAAGTGCTCATGTGACAATTTTTAGTATTTGATTACTGATAAATTTAAAAAAAGTTATTTTGTCATAACTTGCTAGTAAACACGTTATGTCTGCTTAATGTAAACTACACTGAGTGACTTTTGCTGTGCTCATTGCACAGCTTTGGGGATTCTTTCACCAATTTTTAAAGGAGGAATTCATGTGCTTTGTACTGTTTTGCTTTATGTAATATTATATATTAATATAATATACAGTTAATCATTTATAATTTGTTCAGTGATAAATTCACTTCCTTGTATATTTCATATTCATACTTACTACCAATAACTTCAATTGTTTTGACATATTCCTGGGCTGCTTTCACATTTTCCGGTGTTGCTTTGCTTAAATGTGGCCGCCATACAACAAAGGTGGTTGAAAATACAATGATGGCAAAGTAGTCCTCCTCTGGGAGTTCAGCCAGAATGGTCACTAGAGCCTCTTTAGTCTCATTTCAACAACAAACAGACCAAAGTATGTCCAAAGTACTGACAATATGAAATTGAAAACAGTCTTTTCTCATTTAACAGACATCATAACTCACCTGTGCCATTTTATTTCCCACCATAGAGTAGCTGTTGTCTATCACAAAAACGACCATTTTTGGTACTCTTGGAAGATTAACCGGTGCGAAAAAATGCACAAAGTATCCGTTTACAATCTGTAGATGATAAAAATGTTATTTACGTCTTACTCTTTGTGCTTTCCCAATAAATAATTTGTAGAATGGTTGAACAAATTCAAACGTTAACATATAGCATGTTAACTAGCAGGCCACAGAAAAGCATTCTTTTCATTTGTTCATTTGTCATGTCTTTATCATCCTAATGATATCTGACCTGGATATCGCCGATGTCATGAGCACGGTTGACATCATACTTAATGAAGAAATCTCCATCGATGAGCGTCCCGTCACACTCGGTGCATTTCCTCTGTTGATCCAGTGTTGGAGAGAAGGACACATGGGCCTGAACAAAGATCAAATTGTTATCATTACCATCACCATTGTTATTCTCTAATGGAGATCCTTCTTAGTTACTAGCATTATTTAGCGTACTAATAGTGCTTTATACTGGTATATTGTAAGTGGTATCCAGCCAATGCATAGATAGTTGAATCGTCACCTTCTTGTCAGTGACAGTTTTCTCCACTAGAGGAAGCAGTTCATTGGTGATGAATGTACCGTAGGCATCCACAAATGCAATTCCCTGAGGTTCATAAATGTCTGCTAAAATCTGTGGGTGGGAGACAAGACAGATTATGGTTATTTTATTTACTTTTTTTTTCATTTAATATGCACACTATGAATTCAAGCCAACAAGTAATTCATTGTTTTAATAAGAGGTGTTCATAGTATGAGAGTAATTAATTATTACTGTTAAAATTCTAAATATTGTTATATTTTTTATTGAGGAAAGATGTTTTAACAAAGACATGCATTATAGATCTACACAGTATATAATCATATAGATAGTTCATGTCCATGAACATTGTAAATGTTTACATTTTGAAAGGAATAGTTCACCCCCCAAAAATGAAAATTTGCTGAAAATTCTCAGCCTCAGACCATCCAAGATGTAGATGAGTTTGTTTCTTCATCAGAACAGATTTGGAGAAATTCAGCATTGCATCACTTGCTCACCAATGGATCCTCTGCAGTGAATGGGTGCCGTCAGAATGAGAGTCCAAACAGCTGAAATCAATTTACGTATCGTGAGGAGAAAAGCTGCTTGTTTCTAATAAATAAATCCATCAAGAGGTTTTTAACTTCAGACCATTGTTTCTGGCTAAAATAGTGTCCATAATATTGCTTTCTCAAGTGTATCAGCTGACTCTCATTCTGACGGCACCCATTCACTGCAGAGGATCCATTGCATAGCAAGTGATGTAATGCTGAATTTGTCCAAATCTGTTCCAATGACGAAACAAACTCATCTACATCTTGGATGGCCTGACGGAGAGTAAATAGTTAAATTTTGGGTGAACTATTCTTTTACCATAAAGATTTTAAGTTGAAATTTTTATGTAAAAATTCAAATACCACCATTCGTTTTTCACCTTTTTCACTTATAGACAAATGATTATTTTTTTATTAAATGTGGCTTCTCAATTATGATGTTATAAAATCTGCTGTGGTGAAAAATGAACCTCAAAGTGCTGGATCAGCTGTTTGGGTTTGACTCTGATCATGAGCTCATATTTGCCAAAATGTCGCTGAAGAAGTTCCTCATGGGTGAGAATAAATATGACACTGCTGTCTGCTGCGACATTCACAGTAACAGAAAACTTCTCCATTTTTCTACCCGAAGCCCTGGAACACCAGAACACCAGAACACCAGATAGTTAGTAGTACATTAACAACAAACAGTTTAAAGTTCACTTGACTTCCTGTTTTCCTCTTCTCACTTGACTAAACCAGCAGTCTGGCCAGATGACACGGCCTTCTGATACTGCTGCTTGGCCTGCTCTTTTTCTTTCACCACACCTGTGTATGTCTTGCCATCAATCTCCCTGAAAATCCCAAAAAAAAAAAAAAAAGAAAGTGTCACAACATGCTGCCATCATTTCCGAAACTTGACTTTTAAACTCAATCAGATGGAAAAGGACTGACATGCTGAAGTTGGTGATGAAGGAGGTCTTGGGTAACTCCACCTCAAAAGACACTTCCTGTGAGACGTTGGCCTTATTGAGAGCTTTAGTGGTCATGATAGTGTGGGCGAAACGTGATGTCACCTTGCAGTCCACCTTCATGCTCTGCACCTCAATCTGAAAGACAGAGAGAATAAAAACATACAGAGGCAAATAAAGAGTGTCACTGATCTATTGCTGTCTAAATGATATATACAAATTTGGTTACACTCTACATTAAGTTTTTACAGTGTATTTATACATTTAAGTACTAATTAATATGAATGAACTACACGTTCTGTATGGTTAAGATTAGGGTTTGGCTTAGGGTTACTTGCATGTAATTATGCATAATTTATTGTTATTATAATAGTAAGTACATGTAAAATATGTTACAAGAACATCTTAAAATAAAGTGTTACCAAAACGTCTTATTGTAACAAAATCATTTTCAAACCTTTTCAAAACCTGCAAAGTTTTGGAACGCTCAAGCTCAATAAATCATTAATCCTCCACAACACTTTTAGTGAAAGGGTAAAATATGACAAACATTTTGTAGCCGTGATTGCTTCTGTTGACTTAGACTGTGGTCATTTCAGGACAGAGGTTGAGCTTGTTAAGATCAGCGTCAAATACAATACGTCAAACAACCAATAATTTAAATTAACTCATTTTATTCAGGTAAAATATATTAATATGAATTAAAACACATTTAAATGTGTTTAAATGTATAATATATATATTTAATAAAATAAATAAAAAATATGTTTAAATTAACTAAATCGTTAGCCAAGTTTTTTAAGGATCAGATAAGGTAAAACTAACCCAAGAATTGCCCATATTAATTTCTAATAAACTTTTAAATCACAACGTCTTGACAGACAAACTTGTGTGAAATGTAACTAGAGTTCCCACCTCACCACTGCTCACACTTCGCTTCTGTAAGGAAACAATGAAAGATTTTTTTAGATGGCGACACGATTTAGATGTAAAAAGATTGTGTGTATTAAAGCTAACCGACAAAAATAGTTATTATTTGAGACTTTTCTAATTCTTGAAATATAATTTCAATACTGTTCATCAGTGGTTTTCAACCATTTTGACTTGAAAGGTCTCCGTGTGAGTTTTTTTTTAACATAAATATATTAACCTAAAGGCATAGTTCACCCAAAAATTGAATTTTGTCATCATTTACTCACCCTCATGTTGTTCCAAACCTGTATAAGATTCTTTCTTATGTTGAACATAAAATAAGTTATTTTGAAGAGTGCTGTTAATCAAACAATTGATGGTCCCCATGCTAATATATTTAATAAAATAAATAAAAAATATGTTTAAATTAACTAAATCGTTAGCCAAGTTTTTTAAGGATCAGATAAGGTAAAACTAACCCAAGAATTGCCCATATTAATTTCTAATAAACTTTTAAATCACAACGTCTTGACAGACAAACTTGTGTGAAATGTAACTAGAGTTCCCACCTCACCACTGCTCACACTTCGCTTCTGTAAGGAAACAATGAAAGATTTTTTTAGATGGCGACACGATTTAGATGTAAAAAGATTGTGTGTATTAAAGCTAACCGACAAAAATAGTTATTATTTGAGACTTTTCTAATTCTTGAAATATAATTTCAATACTGTTCATCAGTGGTTTTCAACCATTTTGACTTGAAAGGTCTCCGTGTGAGTTTTTTTTTAACATAAATATATTAACCTAAAGGCATAGTTCACCCAAAAATTGAATTTTGTCATCATTTACTCACCCTCATGTTGTTCCAAACCTGTATAAGATTCTTTCTTATGTTGAACATAAAATAAGTTATTTTGAAGAGTGCTGTTAATCAAACAATTGATGGTCCCCATGCTATTTTTTTTTTACCTACTATGGAAGTCAATGGGGACCGACATCTGTTTGGTTCTTCAAAATTCTTCTTTTGTGTTTAGCATAAGTTAACTTATACAGGTTTGGAACAATATGAGGGTGAGTAAATGATGGCAAACGTTTCATTTTTGGGTGAACCATTCCTTTAAGTATCAGGTTCCCTTGGAAGTTTGCTGAGGCCCCCCAGAGGGCCCTGGCCCCCTTGGTTGAGAACCACTGCTTTACATAATCAATTGGCATAGCAGACTTTTAGCAACATTGTTGCAATACCTTTAAGATTCTGGTCATGCTGGTATCACTGACCTGGAGGGACATAAGAGGATGAATTACTGTATTAAGACAAATGCACAGATACACCCAAAAGTGGTGCTTTTGGCCTGCTTTTGGACTGGACAAGTGCCCTTTTTGTAAGATATTTATTTATTTTATACTTTAGTTTTTATTTAAATTTGGCCCGTGGCATAAATTCTCAACTATGGTGTGTCTGACACAACTGCATGTATGTTCGAATTCTGCAAGACTGTACAAGATTAGGCAATAGCCTTCCATTAAGCAAACAACAACAAATATCAGCAGGATTGCAAATGTGAAATATATTTTATACAACAGTTGAAATATACAATAGGTTTATTACATTAACTGACCATTTCTAGACACAACACTGTCAATCTTGACTATTCTTGCTCTATTTTATCAAAAAAAATAGTTCCAAACAAAGCAGAAAATTTGTGTCTCCTTGAAACACATAGTGGTGTTTTGTTCTTGGATGAATTGGGTGAGTCAATGTTTCCGTGACTCATTTATAAATTACATGGTTACTTTGTTCTTGAATGAATCAGTCGGTTTGAACAAATCGTTTGAATAAATGGCTCTGCGATTCACTTATTCAGTTGGCAATTTTAGTTTACATGTAATATACGGTAATTCATTTTTCTCAATATGTTATATTTAAACATTACTCTCATAAAATTATGCAGTTGTAATCGCAGTGTAGTTAGATTTTGATAAATGTAAAACACTGATTTCATTTTAATGGTATAACAGCCTCATAGTTTATAGTGTCAACTGGTGTAAGTAGGTGTAAAAGTTTAACAGTATATAACTTTAGATTTATAAATAATTATGAGAGGGCTGTTTTTTTTTACTTGAATACCTGCCCCCAAAATGTATGTGCAAGGCACTGACTGTACCGATAAATCTATGATGGTTAAACTATGATGGATATTTTCCTATTTTTGATACTGTATTAACAATGAAGACATACTGTAGCTCAGAATGTTAGTGATCACTGAGTTAATGCCTATAAGCCACTTCATTAGTGCAGCAAAACATGAGTAAATGACAACAAAACCAGACCTACCCACTGCTCATTTCCCTTTGAGACGACCAGGGTCTCAAAAGACCCTGAAGGAAAACATATGCACACAAATACGCAGAATATCCACCCTGCAGACATGATGCACCATCTACTCTATCACACTCAGGACTTTTGAACACTCTAAAACCACGGTACACTTTGTAACAGAGCAAATATTTATTTGTGTGGGAGTGGGGATTTGTGATCTTTGTTCCTAAATTATTGATCAGAACTGAACATTCGCACCATCGTATTTTTTGTGCATATATTGTTCTTGCTCAACTAATTTTTTTTTTATCAGTTAATTATTGTTCATGTTGGTCTTTGGATGTAAACATGGAGGATGGAAACACAAGACATTTTTGGACAGGCAGTTTATTTTGTAGTCACTGAATGCCAGCAGGGCCGTGCACAGACCTTTTGAGGGGCATGTGCTGAAACTGAAAAAGGGCACCCCCCAAATGACAAATGAAATAACACAAAATAATAGACTCAAAAGCTTTCGATAAATAAACATTACTTACACTACCAGAAAACAACAACAACAAATACAATTCTATTTTATATTTTTAAATTAACAATGCAATCAATATTCTGTGTATTAAAGCCAAGTATGAATATCATCAAGTTTTTAAGCATTTTACATTTATTCCAAAATAATAACTCAAGGCAGTATCAATTTAAACAAAATATTTTATTTGTGAACTTATGTTCAGCAATTCTTTTTAATAGTTAACTTTGAACTATTTTTGAATTATTCGATTCATCAGTCATCAAAGCTCAGTAAATATTGGTCACAGACACAGAAATTTACTTTAAATTTCAACATGCTGATTTACTCACTAAAAACTCCCACAGACCATGTTTTCAGACCATTTCAAGTCTTATTTTGACGTAACAAAGTGGTTACATCTAAGTGTGTGAGTTGTTTGCTTACTTTTTAAAATGAGTCTTCCCATTAATGCCATTATATTGTTTATTCAGACTGATTCACGAACGTAGAACGCGCATGAACACAAGAGGCGGGATTTATCGCATGAACCAATCACAGCCGAACATAACCAGTCATATCCAATCATATCGTGATGGAGGCATTGCCTCCTCTCACGTGATTTCCCCCATTCATTCTCAGTTACCCCTCCCCCTCCACTGCACGCTTTAGTTGGTCTGTTAAAACTCAATGGGCTCAGGGGAGGCGAGAGAGACTCGGACTCCCGCTGTGTAACTTTACCTGCTGGTGTCGCTGTTGGACAATGTTTCTTTAGAAAAACCAGTGATTTATACACTTTTTAATGTTATATTTTGTAATATTGGCGTTGTTTTATTTTTGTACTACTAATTTTTTCTTATCCAATATTTTGAATATATATATATATATATATATACAGTATATACAAAATTAAATTTTTCTCTGCTTTGCACACATAAAGTTCAATAAAATTAAGTTTGAAGAAAAAAATATATTTTTAGCTATGTAATATATATAATGTATTACATTATGCATGATAAAATATAAAGATTTCACAGTGATTCGATTCTTTAAAGTTTTTACTATGTTTTACTACGTTTATACATTTGAAGACGAGCGGAGAGTAGGCCTATAGAATACTAGATAAAAAAATTTGCTAGCTAGAATACATGCATATTAACAGCGTAAACATGAATTAGCCATGCGACCATATAATATGATTAAATGTTAATAAATGAAGTGTATCAGCAATCATAAATTTCTTAGAAATATATTTTACCTAGGTGATGAGGATCGCTCAGTAGCTTTGTGTCAAACTCAAATGCAGTTACGGGGTTTTTGACCAGTTAATGTGTGCAAATGTGCATTTCATCCGTCATTAAAACGGCGGCGTTACATTTTCATCACCAGGTGTTTGTTGTAGCTATATGGGCGCGGTGCTCAGTTTCAAATACATACATTATGAGCCTTTATAGACATAGCTTTTCTTGCATAAAGAAAACGCTGTACTTATTCAAACCACAAGATCTTTATATACCCTTGCAGACCTAGTTCAGCTGCTGTGGAACTTCAGTTCATTCAGTCAAGATAGACGGGGTGGAGTTATGAGGTTTTACTGACAGTTTGAGCGGATCCAACAAGATTTAGTCACAAGCTCTTTTTAATACCTTTCATTAGCTAAATATTTGTAAAGCAGACAGACAGATGTAAAGGGTGACCAATATCATTGATTTATTGAAGGAAAAAAAAACCCCACCATCACCAAAAAAAGGGCACTTCGGAGTGTAAGGGCAAAAAGGGAATGTGCTCTGCACAGGTTGAGCCCTACCTGTGCACGTGCCTGAATGCCAGTATAGATATAAATGTAAAAAACCTACTATCATTAACAGCTTTTTAAACCAGCTTTGTCAGATTTCGCATTATATCCAATTAAACCCATCACATCTTATATACTTAAGACTAAATGAAAGCTAACATGTACTTTGTGTGTGGTGCAAAGGTCGGTTGAGTGACAGAGGTTGTCTATATTGTTTTGAAGAGACCAGAGACGATGTAGTCTGTGTGAACTCCATCGAGGAGCCCGGTGCCGTTATTGTGAATGAACCAGCAGGGCACATTTTCTCCATTCTTCACGTCCTGTCTGAAATCTCTCTTCCAGCCCCTGGAGTTGTGTGGGATTGAATGAAAATCTGAATGAATTTTCTGTCTCTCTTGAGGTGCGAATTCAACAATGCATTTTATGTTCGTCTTCATTCACCTGGTAACCGTGAGCTTGTTTCCTTTCACAAACATGTTGGCATCTTGTTTATCAGGGTCCTTTCCTGGAAACAAGTCACTGACCTCAAAGTTCACGCCATGGTAGAACTGACCTGCAGTAAAAAAAGAGTCCAAATTAAAGAGATAGTTCACCCAAAGACGGACATTTGCTGTTAATTTGATTACCCTCAGGCCATCAAAGATGTCGGTTTTTTTTTTAGCTGAAATCATGGTCCTTGGTGATTGATGAGTCAAAAAAAAAAAAGTAACAAGCAACACAAAATGAATATCTGTGGATCCTAATGATATATTGAAGTCTTATGAAGTGAGATGATCTGTCTGTGTAAGAAACTGAACTTAATCTACTACGTTATTACCTGTAATCTATAACCTCAGGTAAACCAGGAACCAGTTCTTTTAAGTGAAAGAATTCACCAAACCGAATTGAAACTTGCAATATATCATCTAGAGCCGAAGTGATGGTAGCCTTTGATTTGCAGTTTATGAATCACCAAGGACAATGGTTTCAGCAATAAATCTTCTTTACTGTTCTACTGATGAAAAACAGTCACCTGAGTCACTCTGATGGACTGAGGGTGAGTAAATGATGATTTTTGGGTGATCTATCCCTTTAAAGTCAGGATAACAGTAAATGAGCTGGGTGGTGTGAAAGTGGTGTGAGGTCGCAGGATTTTTGAAAATTCCAAGTTCTTTCTACATTCAAACTTCACTCTGATACCGGTTCATCATAAACATTTTCCCTACTTTTACATTTCGATTATCTTTGCTGTCATCTGACACTAGAATTTAATCTTTAAATATGCTAACAATTTAAGTGTTCCATATAAACTATTGCAAATCGCAACTTGAATATTTTCATACTGTACAATATAATGTTGAGGTTTCCAAATGTATTTAGACAAGATAATAGAGAATTTTAATATTGGCCATTTATCAGTTATTGGTCATAGTTATTGGGTAGCATTGGTATTGCTCCCGGAAAGTTACTGTCCTGCAAACGTCAGTTCCAACCCTGCTCCAACAAACTGCCTGTAATTATCACGTAACCCTGAACACCTTGATGAACTGATTCAGTTGTGTTTGATTGGGGTTGGAGCTGAAATCTGCAGGTAGCTATCTACAGTAGCGCTCTTCAGGAACAGGTTTGTAGAGGGTACATAGTGCACAGTGTATAGTACGTCATTTGTCACATAACTAACGAGTTGTTAAATGTTTGGAAAGACAAACAAACTTGAATGTGGGGATGATCAAAGATTCATATAGGATAATTAAAAAAGTCATAAAGTTGTATCTATGTACAGTTCTTCTGCTAAGAACATCTCATTTTACCAAGCAGGCCGTGGACATTGCTTGAAAAGAGGTGACTGTCCAAAGTGTAGAACCCGAGGTAGTCTTGATGATACGGGTGCATCTTCCATATTTTGTGCAGGATAATAAGAAACTTGACTGAGTTCCTTAGAGTCACCGTTAAACTGCGATCTTTGATCACCTGCAGATCCATGCTGGAGAAAGCAAAATATGGAGGATTGTGCTCAAAATCAAATTCTCATAGAAGAAGGTGAATTAAAATTCTGCCATAATTTCCTTTCTAAACCCATATGTTAAACTAAGCACTGTTTAATATAAATGTATTTATTTCACTTACTTCAGTCCATCTAAAGTCTTGTTGTTAGTCCATGAGAATTTTGCCTGTTTTCCCCTTTCAGACACTAAGATCTCCTTTGTGCTCACCATCAATCTGATACCAAACTTCTCATGAATAATCCCAAAGCGGCCAAAATAGGTGTGCATCTTGTTACCTGGAATGACCTTCTTATCTCCAATGATCTGGCCATTCACTACAATGCCTGAATATGATTAAATATGAGAAGAAAGAGAATAAACCTAGTCACAATTACCCGCATCTAAACTTTTTTTCTTGTTTTTTTTTACAGAATGAGTCACCTGTAGGTGGGTCTCTAACAAGGTTGAAGATGGTACCAGGTTTGTGATCAATGTTGAAGCACAGAGCATCGTTCTGATCTGGCAGCTCAATGATGAAGTGTGGATCTCCATCAACTCCAAGACAACAAGAGACAAACTCATGAGTAACGTCAGATATGTTTCTTTACTTTAAAAGTTATCTTTAAAATTTATTAAAATTACAAAAAATCTCTTCTCACCAAAATAGGAGGAGATCAAATATTGGGGTTTTAGTCCTTGGACTTGGTAAACACTGCCAGCCTTTTGAGGTGGAGCATGGAGGGCACTTATATCTTCAAGTAGTTGTGAGATAGCGATACAGAGTGTTCATTCCAGAGATTTAAGACACTTCTTAAAGGGGTCATATGATGCGATTTCAAGTTTTCCTTTCTCTTTGGAGTGTTACAAGCTGATTGTGCATAGATAAGATCCCTGAAGTTGCAAAGACTAAAGTCTCAAAACCAAAGAGATATTCTTTATCAAAGTTAAGACTGCCACGCCCCCTTAAAACGGCTCATTCTAACACGCCCCCACATATCTCCCGCACTATGTGGAAGTATTTGCATAATGTCGCCCAAATGTTCACGCAAAGAAAGAAGGCGGGGTTTCAGTAACGCAGTTAGTGTTGAAGCAGCATGTCAGGGAGACGCTGTGTGTTTCTAGGCGAAAGCAAAAGCACTTTATTTGGCCTTCTGAAAGTAGATGCATTTAGGAATCTTTAAGATTACTTACAACAGAACAGCAATGCATTTTATGGACGACCGTTTCGTGAACCTAGGAGAGGAGGTAATTCTGACTTTGCTATGACAATCTGGCGCTTCTGAATCAGCGACTGTTTTGTTATTAGTTTAAGTATTTGCTATTGACTGTTCAAATGCGGAGTTTTGCGCATCGTGTGTGTGAGTGTGTGCGCGTGCTATTTTGTGTTATTTTAAACCATATTTTGTTTAAATTGTTACTGTGTTCCCCTTTCAGGCTCTGTCTTTGCATTTATTTTGAAAGATGAAGCTCGCGATTATGGTAAGGGGCGTTACATTTCCGACGAGTGCTTGCGGTGTTCGGCCAATCACAATGCACTGGGTCAGCTGGCCAATCGGAACAGACTGCGCTTGTCAGAAGGAGGGACTTTGTAGAAAACGAAGCGTTTGAGAGAGGTGGGGCATAGAGGACCTACAATAATGTACAGTATTTGAAAAATAATGTGTTTTTGAACATTAAAGCATGTCAACATATTCTGTTACACCAAATAATGATCTTTAAAAAAGCATCATATGACCCCTTTAATGCTCACAATGATGATGTACCAGTCAAATTCCTCTTACCAGATTCTGTTGTGTCCTCTCGCTGATCTGTGAATCAAAAGAACACGTGTCACATGTGTGTTAATGTGTCACATTAGCCCCTCTTCAGTTGGTCACATTTTTGGGCCATCAGCATAATAATTATAAAATTTAAGCCCAAAGAACTCATAATTTGAATATTACTTTTTCCATTGAATTATATTGTCATTGGCTTCTACAAAATACAATGGATGTGCAGTTCAACTTGGAGGTGTATCGGTTTTTATCAGCCCACGAGGAAACAAAGGTACTAGGCTGGTATTGAAAAGGTTCTAGAAAGAACTAGTTTCTGGATTTGTTGAAGTTGGTGAGATTTGTCGAGGGCAAATTTGGAAATGACTGTGTCATCAAATTTTGATTTACCTACCTGTGAGCTGCATATAGTGTACACTACTTGTCTAAAGTTTAGAACACCTAAATTTTCTGAATTAGAAAAAGAGGCGAAGCACCGTCAGTGGACTACTGGAAAAGGGACTTTTAAAAAGTTATAATTGTTTATGTGTTGTATGCTTTATTTCAAAGTACACTGAGAAATTAAACTGCATAATTCGAATCCGAGTGTGTGACAAATGGTCAAAATTCCCCTGCATGGATTTCACATCAGATTCAAGTATGTAAATCTTTGAAGGTAAACACACCAATAAACCTGCTTAGTTTGAAAGTGACCTCTAGTAACTAGTGCTTCATGAATCTCTACATCATTGATAATGGACAATGGACCTCCACTGCCCTTTGTAGTGCAACCGTGACCTCCCTAGTAAAAAAGTATATTTAAAATACATTATTACATACTAAGTATAGTTCAAATCTATTAACATATTTACTGACATGTTGCTCAAGACTTACTGATATAAAAATCATAATGAAACTTTATTTGGAGTACTACTTGTGCGCAGTGCATATTTCTAAGTATTAAGCCTGAACTGTGTTTTAATGTCACTATTGATGATGATGATTGCATGATCTTTGAATGATGTCTTTAAATGCAAGACATTTAAAGTGTACCTGAAGTATACTTGCAATAGTTCCACTTTAGCACAATCAAATATACTTCAGCATATCTTCAGTTGGACGTTAGCTCTACTTCCACACAATTAAACTGCATTAAGTACACAATTAGTTGTAGATTTAAGTATGCCAGTTTAGTATACCAAAAGTACAATTGCAGGGTATTTTTATTAAGTACATTAATATGTACATGTATTTGTAGTAGATTTAGCATGAAAAAATGTATTTCAAATACATTTTAGTATATTTATTTTTCAGGTCTGGCTTTGTGAGACAGTCTTATCAGGCTAATATCTTTATGTAAAAAAGCAGAAGAAAGAAAGTCATGCAGGTTTACAGGTTTACAGGTTTGGAACAAAATGAGGGTAAGTAAACGATGACAGAATTTTCATCTCTTTAAAATGTAAAAACTACAAGTACCTTCAGTCAGCTTGTCAGCAATGAGTGTTTCATCTTCATCTCCGGTCTCTGGTTTGGTGACCACCATGGAGGTAAGCGGCGTGACAAAGTTATATCTTAGAGAAAGGTCTAGAGCTTGAGCTGTGATGTTCTCCTTGTCTTCTGGTGAGCATTTCTCTCTGTTAACATGTTATTGGAAAAGGTATTATTTTTGTCATGCTCAGGTAATATTAGAAATATTGGAGTGCATGTTTGACCTTTTATCCAAGAGCTGCTGGATGGTCAGGTATGCCCACAGTCGCTCTATGAAATCCCCAAAGATGTACTCCTGATCAGGAAACACACTGTTCCACTCTTCAGCAATCGCTAGACCCTCAACCACAAACTGGTCTCCCAACTGAAATCAGGTGTATGCCACTAATGAAACAGTACAATCAAACTGATTTTTATTTAATAACTAATAGTTTGCTTTGCTTACCCCATTTGCTGATACTTCAGTCTGAAAGGTGTTGGTCTCAAGTTCTTGTAGACGTCCAGCTACAACAATCTCAGAGCCTTTGAAGAACTGTCTAAAGTGACTTTGTGTCAAGTCAGTTACAGCATTGCCAGGATAATTGAGATTCACCTCTAAGAGAAGTGGGGTAGCCACCTCATCATAAAAACCCTGTAGAGATAGAAAATCATTCAGGACCTGGATGCAATCTGGATCAGGTTACATTTATTAAAGGGGTCATATGATGCTTTTTTAAAGATCATTATTTTGTGTATTTGGTGTAACAGAATATGTTGACATGCTTTAATGTTCAAAAAACACATTATTTTTCAAATACTGTACATTATTGCTTGTCCTCTATGCCCCGCCTCTCTCAAACGCTTCGTTTTCTACAAAGTTCCTCCTTCCGACAAGCGCAGTCTGCTCTGATTGGCCAGCTGACACAGTGCATTGTGATTGGCCGAACACTGCAAGCACTCGTCAGAAATGTAACGCCCCTTACCATAATCTCGAGCGTCATCTTTCAAAATAAATGTAAAGACAGAGCCCGAAAGGGGAACAGAGTCGCGTGACAGACACAGTGATGAAGCTGGTATGTGTTTGCAGTACACAAGCCACAGTTAAGACAGCTGACTCCACTGTGATCTCTCTCTCTCACACACAAACACACACACACTCGCTTGCGCGCACACACACACACGATGCGCAAAACTCAGCATTTGAACAGTCAATAGCAAATACTTAAACTAATAACAAAACAGTAGCTGATTCAGAAGCACCAGATTATCATAGCAAAGTCAGAATTACCTCCTCTCCTAGGTTCACGAAACGGTCGTCCATAAAATGCATTGCTGTTCTGTTGTAAGTAATCTTAAAGATTCCTAAATGCATCTACTTTCGGAAGGCCAAATAAAGTGCTTTTGCTTTCGCCTAGAAACACACAGTGTCTCCCTGACATGCTGCTTCAACACTAACTGCGGTTACTGAAACCACGCCTTCTTTCTTTGCGTGCACATTTGGGCGGCATTATGCAAATATTTCCACATAGTGAGGTAGATATGTGGGGGCGTGTTAGAACGAGCCGTTTTAGGGGGGCGTGGCAGAGTCTTAACTTTGATAAAGAATATCTCTTTGGTTTTGAGACTTTAGTCTTTGCAACTTCAGGGATCTTATCTATGCACAATCAGCTTGTAACACTCCAAAGAGAAAGGAAAACTTGAAATCGCATCATATGACCCCTTTAAAAATATATACCAGTATATTTTATTATCTGAGAATACCTGTAGTTGAAGGGCAGCATCGGAGGCCTCATAGACTCTTCGAGCGAGTCCATCGTTCTGCTTGGCCAATGTGTCAAGAAGGCTGTAGTCCACATCATAGCCAAAGCCCAAACAAAAGAGACTCATGCTTCCATTAATAGCATTCTGGACATTTTCTTGGATTTTGGATAGATCTCGCTGGCCTTAAACACACATTATTCATTGTTGTTAAATCAGTATAAATGAAGGTTTGGGATGGATTTTATAAAGCAGAAGTTTTCAAATTTTTATTGCCATGGACAGAATTTTAATTTCTCAACAGCTTACAATGTAAAAAAAATGAAATAAATTAAAACATTGGTGTAGCCAAATATTTTTCAACTAAATACCTTTTAAAAATACACATATTGAAGAATAAAAACAAATTTCAATATGTAACTGCAGAAGGCTTAAGTTTTAAGAGAAGCAAACAGTGTTTCTCTTTTTCTTAACATTACTACTAATCACATAATAAGCATTAATGATATTATAAACAGTGCTAGGTCTGTTTAGGCTGCATTTAGACTTTTATTATTACATATTAGATGTTTAGTCATGTCTGTTTACAATGCCTTAAAAAATTTGCATCACACAAGTATCATATAAATTTCTTTCGCAAAGGTGTATTCTAAAGCATATTGAATGCCCAACGAAGACAACATTAAATGACTAATAATTATTACCAAAGAAAAAGTATTTTAAAACAGTGTTGTATTCTGCAAAGCCAATACACACCAGAACTGGGTCGCCCATCAGTGAGTAGAATGATCATGGACATGTCTGGGAAAGAGTGACTTTTTTCTGAGGTAAGCATGTCCACCGCAAACAAAAGGCCCTTGTTTATATCAGTCACTAATGGAAAATATGAGAGAATGTTTAATACAGAATCAGTAAAACATAGAACCAGTAATTTACTGCAAAACAAAGACTCGTTGTGGGTTATTTGAGAACAATGGCTCAATATGTCAGCGTGCTTACAGCTAGGCTATGATTTCAACCTTGTGCAGGGTTTAGAGTCCTTTTGTTTCACTTCATATACTTACTGTGTCTCGCTTCAATAGTCTTGACAAATTCTTTCGCTTCTGTCACATTCTCTGGTGTAGCTTTGCTAAGAAATGGTCTCCACGACTCTATAGTGTCATCAAACGTGACCAGCCCAAAGTAATCATCTTCATGCAGTTCACTTAATATAGTCATCAGAGCTTCTCGAGTCTACCAACAGATAATCAGCAGATGATTGAAATGTACAAACTAGGAAGAGAGTATAGGAAAGTGTTCATCTGACTCGCCTGTATCATCTTTTCTCCTTCCATGGAGCCACTTCTGTCTATCACAAATACCAAATTTTTAGGCATTTGTGGCAAATAATCTGGGGCAAAAAAGTGTACAAAGTAGCCATTTATTATCTGAAACAGAAACACGAGAACATCCGAATAAGGCATGATTAGTAAGAAATTAATTGTGTGAGGCCGGTTGGATGTACTGCTAAATTCTCTGAAACGCCTTTGGAGACGGCTTATGATAGAGAAATTAACATTCAATTCATGGGCAACAGCTCTGGTGGACATTCCTGCAGTCAGCATGCCAATTGCACGCTCCCTCAAAACTTGCGACATCTGTGGCATTGTGCTGTGTAATAAAGCTGCACATTTTAGAGTGGCCTTTTATTGTGGCCAGCCTAAGGCACACCTGTGCAATAATCATGCTGTCTAATCAGCATCTTGATATGCCACACCTGTGAGGTGGATGGATGATCTCGGCAAAGGAGAAGTGCTCATTAACACAGATTTAGACAGATTTGTGAACAATATTTGAGAGAAATAGGCCTTTTGTGTACATAGAAAGTCTTAGATCTTTGAGTTAAAAAAATGGGGGCAAAAACAAAAGTGTTGCGTTTATAATTTTGTTCAGTGTATGTATGCATGTATTTATTTTATTTAGTTTGGTTTGGCTTTTTGTTTTGTTTTATTAAGGTATAAACAGGCGTCCATATCAATTAACCAGTGGGTAATTGAGATTAAACTATACTTTTTTGTAAGAAATTAAGTTTCAGGTTTGAGATATAAATGTGCAATTACAAGAAATTAAGTCGCAGTTACCAGATATAAATAAATACTCAGACTTGTGACACAAAGGAGCAATTATAAGAAATAAAAACAAAACATATGAAATCACAATTTGAGAAATAATATGATCGTCACAGTAGTCATTTGTGAAATATTAAGCTGCAATTGCAAGATATACACTCGCAACTTCGAGAAATGTTACAAGAAATAGTTACATTGATTGATTGATTGATTTGGTTTGGCTTTTTGTTTTGTTTTGGCCAAGGCATAAACAGGCTTGAATTTTAATCAACCAATGTTAGGGGATTGTTGGAAACTTTCATTTTAACCTTTTTATCAGTGACAGTTTTCTTCACTAGAGGGAGCAGTTCATTGGTGATGAATGTACCGTTGACATCCACAAACGTAATTCCATTAGGTTCATAGATATCTACCACAATCTGTGAATGAGAGACATAACCGATATAACATAGCTTCCAATATTTAAGTATTTCAACTGAATATGTGCAATGAAAGAGTTTGAGAGAGAAACTAATGATGAACCTCAAAATTCTGAACCAGCTGTTTCGGTCGGACACCTATCATGATCTCATAGCTGCCAAGACGCCGTTGCAGAAGCTCTTCGTAAGTAAGAGTGAATGTGACGCGGCTCTGGGGTGCGATGTTCACGGACACAGAAAACGTCTCCATGTTCCTTCCCGAAGCCCTGAAAAGCAAAAACAACAAAAACAATCTAATTTCTGGTAAGTGAGCAAATACTGAAAAGCAAATGTGTACTCTGTCAGCATTCCAGAGCTTTGCCATTGACCTGTACTTACTTAACCAGGCCAGCAGTTAGGCCAGATGACACAGCGCTCTCATACTGCTCCCTGGCCTGCTCTTTTTCCTTCACCTCGCTGACATATATCCTGCCCTCAATCTCTCTAAAAAAACAAACACAAAATATTTCATGAGGCACTAGTTGGTTTTGGGCATGCTAGAAAAAGATTGTAAGTGTAATATATATATTTATAGCTTGTGCAAAGAAAGGAGGACTAACATGCTAAAGTTGGTGATGAAGGCTGTTTTGGGTAAGTCCACCTCAAAGAACACTTCCTGTGATGCATTGGCTGTGTTCAAGGCTTTGGTGGTCATGACAGTGTGAGCAAAACGAGATGCGACCTTGCAGTCCACTCGCATACTTTGGACTTCTATCTGAGAGAGAGACTGATAAGAGAAAGTTAGAATCCACTGTACAGTAATAGTTATATTGAACTTATAATTAATATATGTATATTGTCAAAGCGTCAGAACAAATGAATTTATTTTATAACTTATGGAGGATATCTTCAACATCCTAAAAGATTGTTGATTTCAGTGCTGTATGTTAAATTTATATATTTTTAACTGTAGTTATGACAACTCTCAGGATAGATTGTAAAATCTTTATTAACGTAAATAAAATGTGTATAGGTTTGGCTTTGGCGGACTATATCTGCTACACTGCTGCAGCACAGCAAGTAAACTTGTTTCTGCTAAATGCTCGGATCTTAAAATGAAAAGGAAACATGTTGCTGCTGCTAGAGAAAGGAAGATCCTCGTAGGAGATCTAGGCAGGTGGTGCTGGGGAGGAGGAGGCTAAGATGAGGACACGCATTGCGCACAGACATAGAATTCATTGAATACATCCTGGTTATATAGGTAAACGGTAATGAGTACATGAATCCGTTTGGCTGGAAACATTGAATTGAATGAACCAGTTAGAATGCAAGTAGAGTTTCATGGCTGAACTATTAATTTTTATGACTTTACAAAGCCATGCTCACCACTTCTTGCTTGTATAATTCAAAATAGTGTCTACTAGAGGCATGTGATTTAAGACCAAGAGGTAATTAGACCTTTTTACACCAAGATGAATGTTCGGTATCAAAATTCAGTGAAAATTCATGAAAATTCACAAGCTTACATGCTTATTCACATGTGTACTCTTTTCCAATGCAATGCAAAAGCTGGCCATGAAATTCAAACTTATGGTCATGTACCCAGACCTGCAGCTGTTACATAAAACTAATACTTGGTGGCATTCATGAACAGACTGTTTTGCTAAGCGATGATAAATAGGAAGAATTCAGAACCAGTTCTCTAGTCTCTGTACTCTTGATCAACACCATAGCAAATACAAAAATATGAATGGCTGTTTGAAAACATCTGTCCACCATATTTTTACTGCATAAACAGACTTAACTTTTGACATTCTTAACAGTCTTAAGACTTCTAGTGTCAGCTGCTTTCAGTTATTTTAGCTGTACAAAAACAGCCTATTACTTTCGCGTTGAAAAATAAGGTGGATAAATGCCACCTACTGTCAGAGAATGAATTTACTTTTTCATTCTGACTGTGTGCCACTTTTTTGAGGGAAAAACTTTTGATAATGTTGATATGTTTAATTTTCTAATCACATTTTGCTTAACAGTTAAATGACCCTAAATGTCACTGCTGTGAAATACTTAATCTAGTCAATATACATCAACAGAGTTAGAACAGGTTAGAAATTTCACATTATTTTAGCGTGTTTAAAATTACATGGAACTTCCATGGAACACTAATGGAGAAACTATCCAAAAAATTTGGTGTTCAAGGCATTCTACATTCACTCTACAGTGAAAGTGAAAGTGGATGGGGCCCAGGGGCTGTCAAGCTCTAAAATCACCATCAAAACTTGGTAAAGTAGTCCATACAAATTGTGCACTACGCATATTCAGAATATACTTATATGGTAACTTTATACGAGGGGACATCTTAAATATATGACAGATATGACAAGTAAATGACTATATATATATATATATATATACAGTATATTGTCACGAATCCTGTCCATGGACTTCCGTCCGATTGCCACCAGAGGTCACCCTTTCCGTTAGATTGACTCTCACACTACACAAACTGTTGCATGTCATCCCGGACTACATTTCCCATCATCCATTGCACTGATTTCACACACGGCTGCAGCCAATCACACACCCTACATAAGCCTTGGACTTCCTCTCTCTCACTGCCGAGTATTGTTTGCGTATATCGCTCTCCTAGTGGTAGCACATTACAGAGCCAGTTTTCTGCCCTAGTTTCTAGTCCTTAGTTCCTAGTCATAGTCTTGTTTGGCCTGCTTTCCCATGTTACCTGATTCTTGCCTGTTTATCTTGGATTAACCCTTTGCCTTTCTGTTTCGGACTGTGTTTGCACCTCGCCTGGACTATTTATTGCTCATGTTATTGGATTTCCCCTCTTGTCAAGCCCTCTGGATAACGTTCGCTGTCGACTGACTTTTACGCCTGTTTTGGATTACTCTTTTGTCTTGAACTCAATATACCTGTTTGCCATTGTCAGAACCTTGCCTGTTTTATGACCACGCCTTTAAATAAAAGCTTTGCAGATGAATCTGCACGTCTCATGTCTCGTTCGCCCCGTAACAGAATACTCGGCCACACAAGGATCCAACAGCTTTTTATGTGGACATTGGCCAGTTATGGACACTGCAAGACTGTTATTAACTCTCGAGCAGGGCTTGCGATCGCTCTAGGATTATGTACAAGAGTATTTAGATCTCACATATTTTTCTGATCTGCTGGACTGTGTGCTCATAGACTTTTTTTGTGAGGGTATCAATGAACCAATGATTAATCCGTGAGGGTCCCCGTTCTTCTCCAAGTGATTTTATGCATTATGCTCTGTTGTCTGTTGGTTCAGCGTTCACTGTGGGTATCGTGGAGGAACGCGACCCCGCACTCACTCGTGTAATGGCGGCCGTACTAGAGCACGCTCACAAAATGGCGGCGACAGCGGAGCCTGATCGCAAAATGGCGGACACAACAGCACCCCGTTATGTCACAACTGCCAATCATGAGTCAAGTCAAGTCACAGTTGATCTTCCTGAGTCCAGTCAAGTCACAGTTGATCTTCATGAGTCAAGTCAAGTCACAGTTGATCTTCATGAGTCCAGTCAAGTCACAGCTGCTCATCATGAGTCTTGCCACATCTCAGTTGATCTGCCAGAGTCTTGTCATGTCTCAGCTGGCCTGCCAGAGTCTTGTCACGTCTCAGCTGACCAGCCAGAGTCTTGTCACGTCTCAGCTGATCTCCCAGAGCCTTGTCACGTCTCAGCTGATCTTCTAGAGTCTCGCCACGTCTCAGCTGTTCGTCCAGAGTCACGTCACAGCTGATCTTCCAGAGTCATGTCACATCACATCTGATCGTCCAGAGTCACGTCACATCACAGCTGATCGTCCAGAGTCATGTCACATCACAGCTGATCATCCAGAGTCATGTCACATCACAGCTGATCATCCAGAGTCTCGTCATGTCTCAGCTGATCATCCAGAGTCACGTCACGTCCTGTCTGTTGCACCCAGATTATCAAGGTCAGTCCTTCGGTATCCCAGTCTTGTATCCAGTGTGAGGGATGCACCGCTGGTGTCTGCACGCACAGCTGGTATCCCCAAACCCACTCACTCTAGCCCTCCTGTCCCTGAACTGATTCCCCTGTCTGAAGCGCTTCCCATGATGGGGATCGCTTTTTGGTGTGTTTGGGCTGCATACACCACCACAGAACCTCCCGAGTTGGCGGCATTCACTATGTTGTCTCCAGAGGTGGCGGCTGATGCTGCAGAACCTCCTTAGGTAGTGGTGCTCGCTGCTGTGTTCCCCGAAGCGATGGTGTCCACTGCAGTTTCTCCAGAAGTGGCGGCGTATGCTGCAGAACCTCCCGAGGTGGCGGTGCTCGCTTCAGCTCCTTGCGTGGTGGTGGCGCCCAGCAATGCACTTTCAGCCTGTCATGTCGCGGTCGAAGGAACCATTGCTGAACTTTGTATCTGTCCTGTTAAGGAGAATACTAATGAACTTTCCCTGTTTCCTGATGGTACGGCTGTAGAACCTCCAGAGTTGGCGGCATCCGCAGCAGAACCTCCAGAGGTGTCAGTGGTATCCACTTATGAACTCTCGTCCTGTCCTGTTTCGGCCAAGGAGGCCATCTGTGAACTCTCTGCCTGTCCCGTCACGGCTATGGAGGCCATCTGTGATCCCTTTGCCAGTCCTGTAACGGCTATGGAGGCTGTCTGTGAACTCTCTGCCTGTCCTGTAACGGCTATGGAGGCCGTCTGTGAACTCACTTCCTGTCCTGTAATGGCTATGGAGGCCGTTAATGAATCCCCTGCCTGCCCTGTTAGGGCTATGGAGGCCAATTATAGACTTATGTCCTGTCCTGATCCAGCTGAGGAGGCTGCCTATGAACTCTCAGCCCTGTCTGTCACAACCAAGGACGCTGTCTGTGAATTTCCTGTCTGTTCTGTTTCCCTAAATGTGTCTGCTGAACTGTCAGTCATGCCAAAGTGACCGTTAATAAGCCCACTGTATTTCCTGCCTCAGTCCTTGAGACCGTAAATGCACTGTCTGTCTCCTGTGTTTCAGTTTTCCCTAGGCCCCAGTCCCTGCCATGGGTTCCTGATCACTCTGGTCCGCCGTGGTGGTCTGCCGACACGCTCTGGTGGGCCAAAGCTCTGTCTGCTCTGTCGTGGTGGTCTTATGCTCCTCCGTGGTGGTCTTCTGTTCCGACTGCCCCACCATGGTGGTTCTCTGCTCCACCCTGGTTCCCTGCTCCGCCTTGGCTTTCTGCTTCGCCGGTTCCGCCTAGGTGCCCTGCCGGCTCTGCCTCAGTCCCCAGTCTCTCCACTTCCACGTGGACCTGGCCCTCCGTTCCTACCCCTGTTCCGCCTCCGTTCCACCACTCTCCTGGATTATATTGAGATAGAAGCGTCTAGAAGTTTATGTCATGAATCCTGTCCATGGACTTTCGTCCGATTGCCACCAGAGGTCAGCCTTTCCGTTAGACTGACTCTCACACTACACAAACTGTTGCATGTCATCCCGGACTACATTTCCCATCATTCATTGCACTGATTTCGCACACGGCTGCAGCCAATCACACACCCTACATAAGCCTAGGACTTCCTCTCTCTCATGGCCGAGTATTGTTTGCGTATATCACTCTCCTAGAGGTAGCACATTACGGAACCAGTTTTCTGCCCTAGTTTCTACTCCTTGGTTCCTAGTCATAGTCTTGTCTTGCCTGCTTTCCCATGTTACCTGATTCTTGCCTGTTTATCTTGGATTAACCCTTTGCCTTTCTGTTTCGGACTGTGTTTGCACCTCGCCTTTTAATTTCTTTATTAAATCAATGTAATTGATTGCATTTGATTACATTTTTTATTTCTTTTCAAAATTTCTAACTAATGTTTTCAACTCATAATCAGTTAATAAACTCTCAGACAGATTGTAGCTTAAAGCTTTCAGTGGCAATGTAGGTAGATGTAACTGGCAGACGTGGTTCACTGCAAATTCAAACAAGCAAACCAATCAAAAGCATCACAATAGCATCACTTTACTAAACTGCCTTTAAATGGCAGGAGGCATTGTGCAGATTACAAATTAGAAACAGGCAAGGCAACAAATTAATCTTATGCAACATTTTCTAGGTTTTTACAGAAGATATTCAGATGTAACCCCCTTTGTAATCATTCACATTTTCATAAGTAACTTATTTAATTACACACATGTTTTTCTCAGTAACGATAGATAGATAGATAGATAGATAGATAGATAGTTAGATATTGGAAAAATTAAAGGAAACTAATGACACTTACCAGCTTTGTGCTCTTGATATAGACTCGAGAAACTGAAAAACCTTACCTGTTTTGCTGAATTATTGTTTTGATCTCTGATGGTCATAGTGTCTTGAGCTTTAGCAGTAAGAATCACATAAATACACACACACATCCACAGCATGACTTTAACTGCAGACATGGTGAAGCCTGGTCCGAACTGATTTCAATGCTGGGTGTAAATGTTCTTAAACGAGAGTGAAATGAAGAGAGAGAGAGACGGATGAATGACCGCCTGTGTGTGTTGTCCAGGCATTTTAAGGGTTGCCAAAGGGGTGTGTGAGTGTGCCCAATAATCTAGTACATTCTCCACTGCCTACCCACTCCACCCAGAACAGACATCCATCCGTCTGTCCATCCGTATATATATCCTCTGTCTGTCTGTATCATGTCTGTCGGTCTACAGTGGCAAGAAAAAGTATGTGAACCTATTAGAGTTGATTGGTATTCTGTGTTAATTGGTCATAAAATGGCATCTGATCTACATCAAAGTCACAAGTATAGACAAACAAAATGTGCTTAAGCTAAAAACACACAAACAACTATAATTGTCTTTATAGAACACATCCCATTAAACATTCACAGTGCTATGGGAAAAGGTAAGTGAACTTGAGTCCCTTGCTTGTCCTGAGCAGTTAAACTGCCCACTTGTCTTCAGAAATATCCTCCAGGTCCTGCACATTCTTTGGTTTTCCAAACACTAACTTATAAATTTTGTATATTTTAGTTTCCCCAGCAGTTGGGTGTAAAGTAAAAATGTAAAGTAAAATATTAAAAATGTCTGTTAATGCATTTAAAAAAAAGTTTATACTCTATATTTTATAATTATCTGTGAAGCAAGCATTTTACCATCATAGAGTTTTGCAAGTTCTGATGTGGGACTGCTGATGTGCTTTGCCTATAAAGTGCTCTTTTTTTCATGAAAGTACAGATGCTTTTTGTGGTGTGATGAGAAACTCTTTAGACCCTCTGTTTGCTCACACAGAACCTCTCATTTATCAGAGGTAACTCCTCTATACATATGTACTGAGAGAGAGAGTTAATGTGCCATAAGTTGTGCCTGAGAGCAGCCAAATGACAAGCAATCAAGCTGCTGAGAGAAATAGAGAGACGAGAGTGATCAAGTGTGTCAATGAGCCTGTTCATGGTTTTCTGGACTCCAGTGTGTCATGTCTGGTCAGCATTGCTAAGGCGCTAGAGTGTTTGCATGTGTTTTGGTTTTCTCACCACTCCCTCTTTAACAAGACTGAAGTCAGATATGATGTCATTCTTCAAAAGGTAAACATTCAGTCATCACTGAAGCAACACAACCCAGGGATGGCTGCAAACATGCCCTCACTGTGCATCCAAAATGATTGCAAGGAATACCTCTATAGCTCTCATCTCATTCCTCTCATATAGCAACCAGCATATACTGTAGGTCAGAGTTTTTAAAAGGGATTCTACCTTAAAAAATAAATATATATACAATATATATGTATATATATATATAAATATATTAAAAACAACCCAATAAAATGACCCTACAAGCTGAACCAAGCATTTTGGTACAAAAAAAAACCTAGCAACTGGGTAAAATATTAAAAACAACCCAATAAAATGACCCAACAAGCTGAACCCAGTATTCGAGTAAAAAAAAAACCAACAACTTGGTAAAAATATTAAAAACAACCCAATAAAATGACCCAACAAGCTGAACCAAGCATTTTGGTTAAAAAAATAACCTAGCAACTGGGTAAAAATATTAAAAACAACCCAATAAAATGACCCAACAACCTGAACCCAGCATTCGGGTTAAAAAACAACAACAACTGTGTAAAAATATTAAAAACAACCCAATAAAATGACCAAACAAGCTGAACCCAGCATTTGGTTTAAAAAAAAAAAAAACAGCAACTGGGTAAAAATATATTAAAAACAACCTAATAAAATGACCCAACAAGCTGAACCCAGCATTTTGGCTAAAAAAATTAACCCAGCAACTGGGTAAAAATATGAAAAACAACCCAATAAAAGGACCCAACAAGCTGAACCCAGCATTTTGGTTAAAAAAAATAACCTAGCAACTGGGTAAAAATAATAAAAACAACCCAATAAAATTACCCAACAAGCTTAACCCAGCATTCTGGTTAAATAAATTAACCCAGCAACTGGGTAAATATATTAAAAACAACCCAATAAAATGACCCTACAAGCTGAACCAAGCATTTTGGTACAAAAAAAAACCTAGCAACTGGGTAAAAATATTAAAACAACCCAATAAAATGACCCAAGCTGAACCCAGCATTTGGTTTAAAGAAAACAAAAAAAACAGCAAATGGGTAAAAATATTAAAAACAGCCCAATAAAATGACCCACCGTGCTGCACTTTGTTATTCTTCTAGTTATTTTCCTATGGTGGCTAATGAACCGGACATCTCGCACATTACCAGAAAATGGCTTCCGCTTTAAGGAATAAGTGGATATGACAAACAAATTAACAAATGAACTAACTAAACAAATATGGCATTCAAACTTATTTTGGATTTTTTATATAATGATCAGTTATTTGGTTTGTATGCACTCCTCAAGTTTGTACTATGACCTTTGCAGAGGTGGACAGTAACTAAGTACATTTACTTGAGTATTGTACTTAAGTACACTTTTTGAGTATCTGCACTTTACTTGAGTATTATTTTTTCTGGAAAATTATGACTTTAACTTCACTACATTTGAAAGACAAATATTGTACTTTTCACTCCACTACATTTCTATCAAGATCCTCAAAGTAGAAAAGTCATTAGCAGCTTTGAAAGTCAGTTGTTTTTTTTCTCAGACAGTTTATCAGTAATCACTCTTGTAGGGCTACATGAAATGATTTCCCAGCATTTTTTGAGCACTGACCAGTTCCAAATGTGATATTTATTTACAACAATTCAATAACAAGAAGTTAATATTGTGGTTTATATTAGACACAATATTGTCTGATTTTGCACAATTGTGTAAGTGAAAATATTACCTATAAAGCGACAGAAGAACGTCTTGGTTAGCATCTTGAACGGGAGCCTGTGAAGGGCCCGGTTCACGACGCGCAGGTCCAAGATAGGTCTCAACCCACTGCCTTTCTTGGGTACAATGAAGTAAGGGCTGTAAAACCCCAACCTCATATCAGCTGGAGGAACCGGCTCTATCGCGTCCTTCGCCAGTAGGCGCGCAAGACAGGGGCATCTGCTGCTTTCACTGACGAAAAGTGGACGCCCCTGAACTTGCCGAACTAGCTGAGCCTGATGGTTCGACGGAGCCATCGAGACGGGCTGAGCAGCTCTAGCCAGGCTCTCTTGAGTGTAATACGGCTCTGGACCGTCCACCACCCGCCGTCCCCTCAGGGGACCCAGAGAAACATCTCTGGGTCGCCTGTCTCAGGGCCTCTTGCACCTTCGCTTACCACCAGGTCTGGTGGGGGCCTGGACGGGCGGGGTGGCTGCCCTGCGGCCGGCTCCTCGGCGCAGTCTTGCTGGAGGCTGCTGCGGATGCTGCGCGGGAGCGGGGGTGGCGGCCGCCCTCGGCGACGAGCGGGCTGAGGCGCTGCCACCGGCGGCCAGGTGGAGGCAGCAGCTGCACGCCGGAGCAGGATGTACCTGATGGCCTCAGTCTGCTTTTGGG